TGAGTTGGTACTGACTCGATGGCACCTAACAACAACAACAACAATGCCTAGAATATCAATTTTTATGCATGCCAGTTCATTTTTGCCAAGTTCCAAATTTCCTATATTCATACTTAGTATAGTCTATATGTCCAATTATTAAATCTTCTCTTCACTAGGCATTAGTGAGCTGAAACTGACTGGTATTGGCCATTTGAGTATGACAATCACATGGTTTTCTATGTTGGGAATGACAAATTCAAAAGGAATGGTGTTACATTCATCATCAAGTAGAACACTTCAAACATGGAGAGAGAGAGCAACTGAAGACTCTAGACTCATGGAAAGAGAAAGATTGAGTGCTGGCAGCCAGGTGGTAGGCTTGTAGAATGTGCCCTTTGGTTGTTTAAATTATTATATAGTCCTAAGTGTTTTTGTGTACATCTCTCCACCCCTCCCCCCTAAAAAAGAAAACATAAGGAATAGAAGCAATACTGCTGAATGATGATGCACAGAGGAGATTATAATCACTGCAATGAAACGATGGTGTAAAACTGATGTTCTCCCATGTAAACTATCATTCAATTCACAATGAAAACTTAAAAAAGGAAAAGAAAAAAAAGAACACTTCAAGATCTGTCTTGAAGTACAATGTTGTATGTGAAAGAACAGGATCAATATGCCAACAAGAAAGACCAATGAATACCATTATTCAAATTTACCCACCAACCACTAAAGCCGTTGATGAAAATGAAGAATTCTACCAATGTCTTCAGTCTGAAATTAAGCAAACATACAGACAAGATGTGTTGATAATTATTGGCAATTGGAATGAGAAGGTTGGAAATAAAGAAGAAAGATCAATACATGGAAAATATGACCTTGGTGGTAGAAACGATGCTGGAATCACATAATATCTTGATCATATTGCACCTGAATTTAGAGGTCACCTCAAGACGAGATTTGATGTATTAAACACTAATGAATGAAGACCAAAAGAGTTGTGGAATGATATCAAGAACAGTACACAGAAAGAAAGCAAAATTTCATTTAAAAGACAAGAATGAAAGAAAAGACCAAAATGAATGTCAGAAGAGCTCTGAAACTTTCCAGTTCAGACATGTTAAAGTGAATGAAAGAAATAAGGAAATAAAAGCTGAACAATTTCAAAGGACAGTTCGACAAGACAAAGCCAAGTATTATAATGAAATGTTCAAAGACTTGGAGTTAGAAAATCAAAAGGGAAGCACATGCTTAGCATTTCTCAAACTGAAAGAAATAAAGAAAAAACTCAATCCTCAACTTGCAATATTGAAGGATTCTATAAGCAAATCTACCAGTCATCTGTCAGTTTGTCATACTGTGGTGGCTTGCATTTGCTGTGATTCTGGAAGCTATGCCACTGATATTTTAAATATCAGCAGGGTCACCAGTGGAGGACAGATTTCAGCAGAACTTCCAGACTGACAGACTAGGAAGGAGAGAAGGATTACTTCTAAATAGTTAGTCACTGAAAACCTTATGACTAGCAGTGGAACACTGTCAGCACCAGAATATTGAAACATGATGAAGAATACCAGAATATTGTCAAATATTGTTTTTGTTGTTGTTAGGTGCCATCAAGTTGGTACCAACTCACAGCGATGCTATGTACAACAGAACAAAACACTGTCCGGTCCTACGCCAAACTCACAATCATTGCTGCGCCTGAACCCGTTGCTGGCTATTGGAATGAGGAGGTTGGAAATAAAGAGGAAAGATCTATAGTGGCTGCTGTCACTGTGCCAATCCATCTTGTTGTGGACCTTCTTCTTTTTCTCTGATCCTCCACTTTGTAAAAAATGATATCCTTCTCTAGGGACTGTCCCTCCTCCTGATAATATGTCTGAAGTATGAGAGACAAAGTCTGGCCATCTTGGCTCCCAAGGAACATTCAGCTGTACTTCTTCCAGCACAGATTATTTTGTTCTTTGGGAAGTCTATGGTATTTTTAATATTCTCCTCCAACACCATAACTCAAATGCATGAATTCTATGGTTTTCCTTATTCACTACCCAACTTTTGCATGTATATGAGGTTATTGAAAATACCATGGCTTGGGTCAGGCACACTTTAGTCCTCAAGCTGACATCTTTGCTCTTCAACACTTTAAAGAGGTGTTGTGCAGAAGATTTGCTTAATGCAATATATGGTTTGATTTCTTGACTGCTGCTCCATGGATGTTGATGGTTGATCCAAGCAAAATTAAGTCTTTGACAACTTAAATCTTTTCTCCACTTATATGGTGGTAGTGGTGGTGGTTGTGTGCTGTAGGGTTAATTCCAATTCATAGCAACCCTGTTTAGGGTTTCTGAGGCTGTAAATCTTTATGGGAGCAGAAAGCCTCATCTTTATATGGATGTTGTTTATTGGTTCAGTGGTGAGGATTTTTATTTTCTTTATATTGAGATGCAACCTATATCGAAGGCTGTGGTCTTTGATCTTCATTAATGAGTATATTTAAGTCCTTTTTGCTTTCAGCAAGCAAGGTTGTATCATCTGCATATCGCAGTTTGCTCCAATCTTGATGCCACATTCTACTTCATATAATCCAGTTTCTTGGGTTGTTTGATCAGCATACAGATTGAATAAGTATGGTGAAAGAATATAACCCTGGTGCACACATTTCCTAACTTTAAGACATTCGGTGTTCTCTTCAAACAACTATCTCTTTATGAGGAGTATAGGCTCCTCATAAGCACAAGTAAGTGTTCCAGAATACTCATTCTTTGCAATGCTGTCCATAACTTGTCATGATCCACACAATGGAAAGCTTCTGTGTAGTCAACAAAGCACAAGTATTTTCTGCTTTCAGCCAAGATCCATTTGACATCACCAATGATATCCCTCATTCCACATTCTTTTCTGAATCTGGCTTGAACCTCTGTAAGTGATTGCAGCAGTTTGGGATTATCTTTAGTAAAACTTTACTTGCATAGGATGTCAATGATATTTCTGATGATTTCTGCATTGTGTGGGTCACCCCTCTCTTTGGAATGGGCACAAATATGGATCTTTTCCAGTCAGTTGGCCAGGCAGTTGTCTTCCAAAGTTCTTGGCATAAATGAGTGAGTGCCTCTAGTGCTGCATCAGATTGTTGAAAGATTTCTATATGTATTCCATATATTCCCAGTACCTTATTCTTTGCCAATGCCTTCAATACATCTGGACTTCTTCCTTCAGGATCATTTACTCTTGATCATATGCTGCCTCTTGAAATGGTTGAACAT